ACAAAGGGAAATTTCACTCACGTGAATTTAAATTCATTTAAATCTCATGAGTTTTACCTCAAATGGCTTATACGTAAAACTCACGTGAACTGATTTCACATGAGTTTGACATGAATCTTATGTGAAATTTACATTAATTTCAAGTGAAAATCACATGTACATTTTTCACGTGAATTTTCAAAATAAAGTTTTCACGTGAATTACACGTATAAGCTCGTTTCATGTGAATTTCACGTGAGCAAAATTTGCCTGGATATATTCATATGCAGTTCATCTAGTTCTAAAGGATACAAAATTTTATCAAAATCTTAAATATCGCCTAATTCTATACTTTTATATAATTTAAACGCGTACTTTGCCCTTTAAATGACGATGGTCTGACAGATATTACATAATTGAGGATTGAATACTCGCTCAATATGTACACAGTTAAATTTGAATGAAACGAGATGTCTGGTTCAAATATATAAGAAAGTTATATATACAACATCATAATCAGCCCCACAATATATAACAGCTGTAAGAGATCATCACCTTTTCTTACGTCATATAAGCTTGGTAAACAAAAGCTTAATATGATACGGATTAAAGCACGACAACACTTGACAATAATAATCGTCATTGTATACGTCCAAGACTAGGGCAGAAAATTTTTTACTAAAAGACCTTACTATAGTGTGGGGATGGAAGGAAGAACAGATGACAAAAGAAAGAAGGGTGGAGAAATGAGATGAGAACAAATAGACAGATAAACAGAATAAATGCAGTTTTATAAAGTTTATGAGAGCCTTGAACGATGGGTCTTCGTTTTTGTTAATTTTTTGTAATTTTTTGCTTATTTTTTTGGCCTATTATTCTCTATTCTTTATACATTACCACGCCAATAGTCTCTGTTTTATTTTTTTACCATTTTCCCTATTCTCTATTCTTTAGTTGTTATCATATATCTTCCCATTATAATTTTCCAGAACTTGCGTTTCCTGTCATGATTTACTTATTAGGGTTGCTGATTGCATGCTAGCTACTGTATTGAACAAAAGGTTCTTAATAAAACACTGAAGTAGTATCTTATTTCATTGACGCTCTTCATGACTTGTTTGATCGTTAATGAAATTCAGTGTCACAAATGACCACGAATATACACCATATCTCCTGCTTTACCTGTTAATGACTAACATCGACTTATCACCGGATCTTTACTTGATATAAACACCATGACAGCTGCCAATAGATTAACAGGAACTTCTTACCTATCCGGAATACATAAATACATTCCCGTTTAATTGTGAGAGTTGGTGTTGCTGAATCTTTATTTTTCTGTGAAGTGTTTGGCTTAGTGTTGATCACCTTGTCTGTTTTGGATAGTGGTCTCGTTACAGCGACTTACTTGAGTGCGAGAGGACGTATATTCCATCTCTGGCTGTGTCAAACAAAACACTTAAAAAATAGAATACTCAGCCTTTTCACGAAATTTAAGAGTAAGAGCAAATAGTTGGTCGACTCGGAGTTAAAAAAAATGGGTCGTAGTCGGGTGACATGTCTTTATTTCGATTTTTTATCTTTGGATCTGGTAAGTAAACACCAATCTATTCTTCAACCTTTTTGGCTCTAATGTTGTCTATCATTTTTAATTTATGATTTGATTTGGTCCTTGATACCATTTTAGCTGAAGTAGGGTGAAGAATTAGGATAAAAATAAAACTGCTTCTTTTCCTTCTTTCGTGAATTTTCTATGTTGTTTGATTGCTGTCGCTTACATGCATATCCCACGTCTACTTTTATCTAGATTGGAACATAAAGTAATGAAAATGATGTGTGTTTTCTGAAAGGTTGGATGGTATAGATGACATTCCTACTAAATCTTTATACAAATAAAGCCGTGAAATAAAACCTTCGACACTACCATTACCAGATAACTTGATAAGGACAAAAGTACTATGACATTTTTTGGTTAAATTTTGTATTTGCTTAAGGAAGGTAGGTTTATAAGAGAATGCCATATAATCTGTGTATTTGTGCCTTTCAGGTCAATATATATATTTTCAAGGGAGATACCTGTATCATTCATTCACCTACCTTTATAGATATTTATAATATCTTTAAAATTGTCATACTTTTCAACAACAGTTGACTTCAATGAATATTTGTACAAATTATCACGAGATTCGATTACCTGTTTTACGTAAAGTGCGAGTCCTTGATATACAAAATCCTGCTTCAAATAGGATATGTTTACAAAAATATTTTGACAAATATTTGTGGGCGATTTATTAAATGAGTAATATCATTTTCACCGCCTACAAGGAAAAGATAATTTGTTTTAAATAAATTCACCATATTGTCCAAGGCCACTAGTTTGCACCGTGACCGGATACATTTGAATTGTACAGGTTGCACAAAGAATTAATTAATCGTATTCTCCACAAAACAATAAAAAAAAAAAATAAAATTCATGAGCAGGAAATCGTGGTTTTATCCGTTATTATATGTCACAATATTATGACCAAAATAATTGAAAGTTTTTAACCTTTTTCTTATTAAAAAAATTAACAACGCTTGGAATAATCCATTCTATAGGCAGTATTTTGACAAAAAGATACGAACGCTGGAAGTGTCGAGGGTACACATGACATGTTTCCTTGTCTACGGTATGTTTTTTAGAAACTGTTTTAAGATAAGCGACGTTGATTTAGAACGGAATGACTAATAATAAAACTATATAATTATTATATATTATTTAGAGATGCGGAATTATATAATTCGTCTGAAAAAAAGAGCAATAATGTTAGATCTGCAATTCGAGATAGCAATGTTATTTTTCAAGACACCGAGCACACATTTAAAACAATAGGAATGGGGTTTGGTGATATTTGTTTACCCTTTTCTATATTTGTTATACACAAAATGCTCAATCTACTATCGAGAAATATATATGTTGTACAAAACGATATCTTAAAAATTTATATAGTGAGCAATTTAAATTTCATGACATGTACAAGGATATAGAAGTACGTTAGAAGGTCAATTGTTTGAGTAGTTATATTTGGTAAGCCCGCCACAACATAAAGTACATGTCCGTACCGAACCCGAACCTATTTGCAAAGTCATGATAACTTAGTCACAAATAATGTGTTCGTGCTGATGTAAAAGTATAGACAAAATACTTATATGTAAAGTACAGACAAATATACTTGTTTTCATTTCATTTTTTTTTATTAATTAGAACAGAAAATTGGTATTATAGCTTTTTTTTAAACAATATTATTTCATTTTTTTTCACGACAGGCCGCATGAATAACTACAATTTGTACACCACCAAATTAGGAAAATACGTCTAGAGATCAAGCCACAATAACATATGTAAATTTCTGAATTGTTCGAGTCTACACGGGTTGTTTATTATTGAAAAACCTACCAATGATCTAATACCTAACTATTACATGTAAAGGAAATAAAAAAAACACTGCTCATACAAATGACTGGAACCAGCAGGGATTTTCAAAATTTGGGTACTAATTCTTCACCTTTTCACCTCGATTAGTAAAATGCGAAAAAGGTCTCCAATAAAATTATAAATATATACAGGAATTAATTCTATCATAACGTAAAATCAATACATACAACTAAATTATGCTCGAAAATACAGAAATCTAGTTCAAATGTTAGAAATATTCTTTATTTGGTGATAAAAAATTCAATGTGACTGTTCAAGCCGAATATGTGCTATCCAAATAATAACACTAACTCAGTTACTTTTTTAAGCAGCTCTTAAGTTTCAGCAAAACAGTTTTCTTAGTGTCTTTAATTTGGAAGTTCTGTTAAGTGTCATGCATGGTAGATATACATAAAATAAGATGTGGGGTAAACATCAATGAGACACTACCTTAACATTAAGATATCTAGAGGGCAGCATAATTATAATCTTCAACAATTAATAGACATTGGCCTTCTATAGCTGACTATGCGGTATGGGCTTTGCTCATTGTTGAAGGCCGTACGGTGACCTATAGTTGTTAATTTCTGTGTCATTTGGTCTCTTGTGGAGAGTTGTCTCATTGGCAATCATACCACATCTTCTTTTTACAGAGTCAATACTATATCTCAGTCTCTCAATATTCCATAGTTTTTTACACAAGATACGAGTCTCTTTTATAAATAAATACACCCGGCCTCGTTCTGCCATCAACACCAAAATATTCAAATAACGAAAAACATTTCACGACTTAAATAAACTGTTTTCTTTGGTGTTTTGTTTGTATGGTTAAAAAAATTATAAACTATATACATGTGTGTACTTTTTTTCTGTTACTAAATTCATTATGTTGGTTTCTGGTTGTCCTAATAGAATGTGAGGTAAACATCAACAAAGAACACGATAACCCTAGTGCACCAGAAATAAACATCTTTGTATTTTTATACTTAAGTAGATTGTAAAACCAAAATAGATTTCATGTCGTATATATCAGTAGCAATGTGTTTCTCTTTTACATGTTTATTGCTTATAGTACAACACTTGATAAAAGTATGGTAAGTGTAAAAAGCGTATTCTTCAAATCACTTAAAGGTTTTTGATTGATTGATTGTTGTTTTCTTAACGTCCAGTGGTAAGGTTTTTGATTCATTGATTGTTATTTGTTTAACGTCCAGTGGTAAAGTTTTGACTGAATGATTGTTGTTTACCTAAACTCCAAGTAGTAAAATGTTTGATGGATTGATTGACTGTCCAGTGGTAACGTTTTTAAATGTTTATGTATATCTGTAATGACGTTATTTTCCAAACCATCACTGAATTTTTCATAACGACATCACGGAGACTTTCTTGTATTCACTTTTATTTTGAATGTCAATGTTAAGTGACAGGTAGACAAAATGTTATTCTAAGTACGATGACAACGAGCCCCTCCCCCTTCTCTTTTTTCATTTCGATATTGTACATTGTAATGTCATACCTTTTTCCTTGTCATCATTAGATCGTTGCATAAAATTAACACAAACGATAATTATTTTGACATTTTCAGTTTTATTTTGCATCAAAATAAATAAATAGACAAAATATATATTACACAACATTTTTACAAAAGCTCATATCATTCCAACTCATATCATACAATGTGTTTCCACACTCATTCATTCGTTTTCAGTAAATGTCATGAAAATTACGCAAAATAATTCGCTGAATATTCAAAAAGGCTTTACAGACTAATATCTATGCTGTTGTAAGTTTCGTTGTTTCAAAGATCTACAGCAACAACAAAAATTTAATGGCGAAAAAAATAAATAAAAATTAAATTAAAGAAATGAGACTATTGCTTAATACTTGAATTTTTACATTTTCTCCAGAAAACAGATTCAGTCACAGAATTCCCTCTCACTCATCAACACATCACTTATCTCGGAATTGTTTTATGCATTCAATAAATATAAAATGGCATATTTAATGAAATGATAGGGAGTGACCATCAGTATCTTCTTCAAGAATAAAAAAAAGTTTGCCGTCTAAAGAATTAAATATGAAAAACAATTTCATACTATTCAAAATGTTCATGCTTGGTACAATTGCTTAAATTCCGTTTTTGTTGTTGTTGTTTATTTGTTTTTTGATTGGCCACTCCCTTGTAATGGAGGGATTTCTGACATGAATGGAATGAGGCAATATATTGGCAACTTAAAAATGGCGCACAGCACCTTCATAATTGGTAATAAATAATGCTGTAAAATGAAGCAAGTCTCACAAATTTTGCAACATTTCTTTGAGTAGAACATCAATATCCATATTTCCGTTGATATGTTTACAGAACAAGTTCTCAATCATTTTGCTGTTGATTCCATACAGGGAAGGCAGACAAAGAAGAAGTTTAGAATAGTGCATAAGATCGTTAGGTCTCGAGACTCGCACGTGCTCCTGCAGCAGACGTTGTATTAAAGAATTGATTTGCTCTACATCGCTTGGTCGTTCTATGCCGGCATATCCTGAAAGGATAAAAAAAAGATAGATTGAATATTTTTTCAACACAGATCAACCAATGACAAATTTATTTACTTCGATCCAAAATATTCGTTTTAAGGGAGAGTGACGAGGTTAACCATCATAACAAACAAATTGTTTATAAGGTCAACGTCCACTTCAGGTCAAATCATATCAACACATGACTGGCAACATGCCAAAACAACGAACCATGAATGAACGTCAGATTTTTTTTTATCGGATGGACAGGTCAAACTGAGTGCATTTGTAAACAATAGGTAACAGGTTCTTTACATTTTCTGTATTACTTACGAAACGCTTATTTCCTATTAATTTAAAATAAATTTGTTGATCATAAAAAAATAATTTATTTTAGAATTCATAACATCAATAGAAACAGATTAAAACTGTTCCATTGAACGTCTAATTGAGGATGGTATTTAAATTATATATATATGTGTGTATGACGTCTTTTAAATACGTAAACGGATTTTTCAATTAAAGCTGGCTGTAGTTTGAAATTTAAAAGACAAAAATGGCATTATATTAAATCATACATATATGGTCGATATTTCATTTCAAATATTCAAGTAAGGATAAAAATAGTTCATATACTGGCAATATTTCAAAATCCGATTTAAAAAAAGAAAATGCGTCCAAGGGCGTACTTTTAGAATTTGACCTACAAATTCAATGTTATCGCCTTATAAAGTTTGGTGGTCGTCAAGGACGAAAATGATTTATGTCATTTTGAAGGGCGTTCTGTATAGAAGTATGATTTATATTTGAGTCACGTTGTACTTATAAGTAGAAATACTGAGCCACATCCTGTGAATTATCATCGCTTAAATTGAAATATAAAATCTATTTTTCGCAACTGATATGTATAAATAGTTCCCAAATACAGGTAGCGATTACTCTAGTAAATGATCTTTTAAAATAGAAAAATTCCCTATATGAACTCATGTATCTTTTTATGTCACATCCCACACGTTTATTGAAAAGCTGTTTATAGATTTTTTGTCACATATTTTAATGATATTGGAATGTTTAGTGGAAGGTGAAAATAATGCTGATCGACATCATTGTGTGGTATTCACTGATAAGAAAATAAAGTTTGGATTAGAATTTGAATAAGATTCTTTGTGCAAGAAGTATTCGCAAAATATTAAACATCGAAAATGATATTTTGTGGGTTTTTTTCTTTCTTTCAAGCAGATTAATTTGTTAATCGACGTTTTCTATGCATTTGTATACAATTATATTTTGCTCTAAATTTGGTCTTTGTCAAGAAAACTAAATGTTAAAATAAGAGGTCGATAACCGGACCAACTCTGCCTGACCCGGATGACGAGGGAAGCACCTGCACTCAGGCATTTTACTCTTTGTTAAATCCGACGTCTTTGTTCAACCACCAACCTTGTGTTCGCTAAATGACACTCTCTAAGGTCAGTGGGAATGCACATTTTATTGAGCTTGTCCATCAATATCAATGTCGATCATTCAAGGCCAGACATGCAAAAAGGCGCAATTAACATGGAAATAGTTGATGGAAAGTTCAACCTTGCAATGAATCAATATTTTGGATCGGAACACTATACAAGATGTAGAGTTTTACAAATAAAACAAATTAATAATAGAACTTTGATGTTGTATCTTATAACATTTGTACAGCCATCACGTGACAACCACATTGTGTACATTGTGTTTTCCATGGAGTAATTTGAGGATTGTTGAAACAATTTATATAACATTCCTAATAATGAATTATGAATAGCATAATACATATGCAGATGATTAATATGAGAATGCCTTTCAATCATTTACACCTATACATAAATATGTTATACGATAATAAAAAGTAACCACAACTTACCACTATTAAACAGGACAGCCATTCTAAGGAATGCATATTCTTTCTGGTCAAGGTTCATGGCTTGAAACTTTCTAATAAACGTCTGAATAGTTTCGGAAGATTTCATCGTGGGCTCCTCTGGTGAGGGTGTCGCCTGCGACTCCTCGAGATCTTGTTTGGAATGATGCGTCGGTGTCACTACAAACTCAAAATTGTCCTCAGCCATATATAATAACATTATTTTAGTCCATGAATTGAGAATCAGTGTTATTTTATCGTTGTGGGATACAGAATGGAATTCCGGTACAGATTTAACAAATTGTACTATTTTCACTAACCAATCAGATACCCGTGAACCAACTGGGAGCAAGTTTTTCTTGGCTAGAGTTACTCGAGTATTACCTGTAACATGAATTGCATGTCTAGAGTCAGAGTCAGATTCATCGGTATCGCTATCATGAAATGTTCCAACACCACCTAACGATTTGCCAACACAAAGAAGTTTTCTAAGCATTGAAACATCGCCATTTTTAATTTTTGACGAATCGTCAATATTCAGATCAGAGTCTTTTGACTTGGTCCTTCTGGAGAGATCCATTGGTTCATCTTGGAAGGAACTATCGGAAAACGGTGACGGTGGCATCGGCGATACGGAAAATCCACTATACCGTGGTAATTCTAAACTGGATGACAGTAACTGTGGACTACTAGATGGAATATTCGGCGATGAGAGTGAATGTGGTGGTGACATTGCTTGAAGTGGTGACGTCATTCTAGGAGACGACGACGTCAAACGGGGAGAGGAGGAATATGGAGATCTACATGGGGAAACGCCTCTAGAATGGTCATGCGGAGATACCGGACTTGTTCGATGAATGGAGTAATTATTGAAATGGGATGGAACTTTAAGTTTTGGTGAATGTCGCTGAACCGGCGAGGTCGAGTATGGCGATAATCTATTAGAAGTAAGATGAGAATATGCCGGTGGAATGTCGCCCATCAGAACGCTTTGTAACGTGTTTGACTGTTTCTGATCAACATCTGGCAGTATATAATTATTAGAGTCCATCCTTCTTGGAATCATCATTGGTGCACTGTTAATATGATTAAATCTTCCAAATGAAGTGCGTTCCTGACTGCTGAGTAAAGCATGTAGTCTATTGTCATATGACACTGGACGACAGGCACATATGGAACCTCGGTCTATATGGACATCATCCATGTTTGCACGTTTATCTATAAAATAAAAAAGTTAAATTGATAAAATGTCAAGCTGCACATACATTCATTTTTTTTTATTTATAGCTTTTACAAAATTCCTTAATGCAAGTACACGGAGTACATACTTTACAGTGCAGACGATTTTCTCGACAGCTATTGTGTAACAACTACTTAATTAAAATATTATTTAATCATGTAAGAATAATCTATCCCAAGGCTGACGTGGCGTATATTTGTAACAATAAACGCCATCGACCTAGATACAATTGAATTATGACTTTGACCTACTGCTCCAGATATACATATTGTGAGTTCATTCCTCCTTTTGGTTAAATATATAACGAGATTAATTACAATAAAGTGCGGTCGATTTGCCTTGCATGACCTATGCTTAATTCAATATCAATTTAATGTACTTTCAAAGATCAATACAGGAATCGACATCTGTCGTTTGTCTATCTTCTGATCATTGCACGCGCCAGTTAGTGTGCAGTCTATATAGAGAAACAATCAGCCAATGAGAATCAACATTCCTTCCAAGGCCAGGAGTATTTCAGGACAAAGAATACGGTTGCTGATTCCCTGTTATCAAATCAATAAGATATTTGCGTCAATCATCCAATTCCTTTTGACAAAAAGTTCTGTCGACCCTTTTCCAACACGAACGTCTGCAAAGTACGCCTCAACAATCAATGCGCTGCAGATTACGCTATTTTAAGAAACTTTGATTAAATTGTGCTATATTTAATCATACGATGTAAAAAATCGAAATAGAACTTTCCGTCTCAATGCATCTCTTTACCTTCAGGCGTTCAATAGTGCATTTATATCTGTAATTATTGTATGGATGCTATTTCGGTTAACGACTGACACACAGAGACAGGTCACGGCGTCTGTGTCACGTACGCCTTAACGAATACATATTTCTTTATAAAACAAAAATATTCTAAATTTGCAATAAGTAAATTTTGAAAGTTTCATAATAGTTCTGTAAAGTATGTTAGATAGTTTCACAATAGTTATAAATTTGTTTGCCCAACAAGAAGGTTAATGATAAATGTAAAAAGGTTATCTCCAGATGTTTTTTTTTTATATAAAATTTGAGTAAATTTCGATTACTGAAAAGAGTGTATATTATGCAAACATTTTCACATTTAATGAGGCGTTGTAATTCTCATCAGAAATCAAGGACTATTTGCATATATTAAAACACTATAAACACTGTAATGAAATGTAATTTGAAAGTATTCATTTGATTGTTCCTCGTGGGTTCTCTATTGGAATTATATGTTTATCCATCTATCTAATATATCTATGTGACTTTTCGCCGTTTCAAATGTATTTTTAAATGTATAATACTCTGGTTTTTTTTGCCTCTTTCATGAAATAGCTCCGATGTTTAAGTACATCGTTGTTTTTAAAACTTTCGACTATAAGTGTCTAAATGAGTAATTTAAGACAGTTTAGACGTTAATGATAAATTCAGCCAAACTCTTTGTTCAGCAAATACTTAATACTAAAAAGTAAATTGATCACAAGTTGTTATTTCGTTACAGTATTACTTCAAATGAATAAATAAATGATTGAGTTTCTTTCTATTTTTAAACATTAGTTGAGAGATAATTATAGGTGTAATTATTCACATCTTTGTCATTTGGTCTTAAAGGATAGTTTTCCCAATGACAGTTGTACAATATCTCCATATTTTTATATATTATTGGTAAAGAAAATAATTTAATCATAAAAAAATTACACCAATTAAAAATATCCAATTAATGCAGAAAATCTTTTCTAGCATTTCAATAGACTGTGATTTGACTATGAATTTATTTATTTTCACTTATCAATTATGAAAATTGTATTAAAAAAACTATAAAGTTAATGCAGAAACAATTAATTAAATAAAGAAATAATAATGTGACTCACCACTAAATGAGTAATCAATAAATCCAAATAAATAATATTCTTTCTTCAACAATGTTTCAGTCTATAATAATATAATAGCAAATAAAAATCCGTCTTATATTCTCACACCTTTTCACTTTCAATGTTCGAATCGTACTGAACTGCTTTCTAATATACTACAACGTATATCCTTTTCTTTCGTCAAAGTGCACTTGCCCCATTCACGTCGTGACCTCAATCAACCTTGACTCTACTACTTCCTTGAATAGTCGATCACATTTGCATATATAATAATCTCGAAGCAAAATAACTAGGATATTTATATATAGTTTAACGACTTTTGAAACGATCGCTTATTTCTCAAATTGTTTTTGAAAATATTTCTTTCGAAATTACATTTTTATTTACAAGTTATGTGAGAAAATATCATTTATTAAATCAGAAATCTGTAATAGGCGTGGTTAGTGTTAGAGATTATTAGTTCTGACGTCAAGACCTTGAAATTGTCAACACAGCCATGTGAAAGACATTGACCCACATTGACCAATTTCTATAAATAAAGTGTGGTTTATTTCTTTTGTTTAAGAATATTTAAGTAGGTAGAGTGTGATTACGTGATTAAACAGAAATCAATTTGCGTATTTTCTGTTTTATAATGGATAAAATCTTTGTGAATAGTGTGTGTTTATATATTTTTAGTCTGCGAAGTTAATAGTTGAAAATGTAGACCTAGTTATTATATTTGTTATCATTCTTTAAAATAACCATTTAGTTCATATCTTTCGAATTTTATACATTAAATCGACTATTTTTGTTTACTTTAACAATATACCATCCCGAATTCCTGTAGTAGACATTACCCGAATTAATCTCGGTCAATGTATGTTTACATGCGTCATGAATGAAATGGTTTTAACTGCGCATGTGCTTTTAGGTTATTTACAGTACAAAGAAATCAATAAAAACGTACTTTAGTTTCTAGATTGATGGGTTTTGATTAGACGGTCTTTACATTCCCCGCCTTAAGCGAATTCGATTAAAATAGCAGACGTTGGGAGTAAAAATAGATTTTCGATTTTCTTAAAAATGTTTCACATTTTCTTTTGTTCGGTTTTAGTAAAATAAGGCACTGATCATTCGTCTTCATTATCTTAGGGGGATGAGTATTTTTCTTGAGGCAAACATTTTTTTTTCAATCACTTAAAGATATAAGAAAATGCTGTTTTTTAAAATTTTATGATCATCCCTTTGATATACAACTACTATTATACACTTCTTTTGAATAAATAGCTGTACAATTAACTCATCATAGATACCAGGCTTAAAATTTTGTACGCCAGACGCGCATTTTGTCTCAAAAGACTGATCAGTGACGCTCGAATCAAAATAGTTAAAAAGGCCAAATAAAGTACGAAGTTGAAGAGCAAAATTCAGAAATATTTTGCCAAATACAGCTGAGGCAATCTATTCCTGGGATAAAAAATCAAACATTCAAAGTTTTGTAAACAGTTAATTTACTATGACCATATCGATGAAAATTCCTACTGACTACTGGGCTGGTGATACCCTCGTAGAGGAAACCTGCACCAGCAGTGGCATCGACCAAGTGGTTGTTAATAAACTCATCATAGATACAAATTTCACATAATCTCTATAACAAACATGAACTTGAATAATAATGATAATAATGAATATAGTTTACTATTAAAAACAACCATTTAAGAAAACTGAAAATGTCGTTAATACTTTTCCTTTAATCAGGTTGCGGTTATCATGATTATAAACTAATTTATACTGAACATTTTCAAGTATTCAAGTCTATCTATCTTTGGCTATTGTTATTATGTTCAATCTTGTGAGCTTAAGGTGGGACATAACACTACAGGGAGATAACTTTTTAAAAATCAGCTGAACGTTTTAATCATTTTCTATTGTTAAGGAAATATTAGGCTTCTCAATGGTCAAAATTAGTGTTTGTCAAACTGCTATATATCCAATGAAATTTTTCCGATAAAGTGTGTGGTTCAAGTTTTTTAATTTTGTCAAAGGGTCAAAGAAAGTATTTTGTCAAAATTTTATGAAAATTAAACGAGCCAAATTAATTTAAGTCAAGGTGTTTGGTACCACCTTAAAACAAGCGGATAGTTTATTTCTTCTTCTTTTGAACCGTTCCAAAATTTGTGATCCCGGGACCTTTTCATATAAAAAATATATCTAACCCTAATAAATATTTACTCGTTAGAAACCACCCCGCTTTTCTCACAAAAACATTTAAATAAAAAAATAAAACAGTATAGAAAAATTGCAAATATTAGAAAGTCAACGTCCATATATCGATACACCAATCTTTATTAATTAAATAGGAAAAGGGCGACAACTCAATTTTAACAAAGATAACAAATATCGAAGGAACTATTATTAATCTCCCTTTTCAAAAATTATTACGTTCCTGCAATCATAGAAATAGAATATATTAAATTTGCAGTTTAGTTTTGTTGTCAGAAAATTTCTAAAACATAATTTTTAGGCGAGTGTCACATGTACTTATCCTTCCGGAACACCTGATAACACCCATGTTTTTTTGTTGGGTTGTGTTGCTCAGTCTTTTGTTTTCTTTTCTCAGGAAAGGGGGAGGTACTTCAATCCATCCAGTACCCACCCTTTTCATATACTTTGAATATTAAAAAAAGAAATCCCTATCATTAATTTGTCTTTACAAAAAAAGACCTATACTACTATATTTCATGGAGAGTTAAAATAGATTTGACAAATGTCTAATGTATTTACTTTAAAACAAATACTACCATCTGATTCAGCAGTTTAAGATTCTTAGACGGATTTGGCTATTATTTTAGGTCCTTTTTGGTTATATAGCTCTTCAACTGTTTAGGTTCTTATACATCCTTGGCTTCAAATAGTCAGCTTTGAGCGTTCCCGATGAAGGTAAATCCAGAAAAGCGCTTCGGACGCATGAAACTTATAACGTTCTATTTTCATTTTTTATAATGTAATCAGCAACATTATCATATATTGAATCTAAATTTATCGCCCCCTTATCATATATTATTAAGCTTCAAATAGTTACCTATTCTAGGGAATAACCCCTACCACTAGTAGTCAGCACTTCTGTGTTGACATGAATTATCATTGATATGGTCATAATTATAAATTAACTGTTTACAAAACTTTGACATTTTGAAATACTAAGGCTTTTCTACCTCAGGAATAGATTACCTTAGGTGTATTTGCCAAAACTTTTAGGAATATTTGGTCCTCTATGATCTTCAACTTTGTACTTTATTTGGCCTTTTTCACTTTTTTTGATTCGAGCGTCACTGATGAGTCTTTTGTAGACGAAACGCGCATCTGGCGCAAATACAAAATTTCAATCCTGGTATCTATGATGAGTTAATGTAAGCGTACTTTCATTCCGCCGTGTATTTATTCCGGGTTACTGTTTTTCACTAGAGAATATTGGATGTAAATAGTGAGAAAGCGTCGATCTTGATATTGTTGTTTTGTTTATATTAGACCGGTTTATTGTTTACATAAATAAATGGGCTAAAATTAAAATAATTTTCAAGGAACCAGTTTAATTAATCTGAGTCAATCTAGTAAATAATATTGATGATGACGAGGAGGATATTTTTATAACTCAAAATACTTTATCAATGATGAGGACAAACCAAATTTAAAGAGCAGATTTGTTCTTACATACAGTTTCAATTATAGAAGCATCCTTTGATATTGACAAAGAAGATATGATTTTATATCCAAGTCGACCGAAGAGCAAATACACCGAAAAACTTCGGCAATCCAATAAATATAAATATTACAATTAGTGACAATTTAAAAGCATACGATTTTATAGATTTGCATAGAAAAATTATTTAAATCTTATGCGTTAATAAGCATTATTGTGTTATTGTGTGTTCAAAATGAGTACTAATCACTTCATCAATATATGGATCTAAAGCACTAGTGTAATTAATCCCGGTATAAAATAACCAGTGCAATCATTCCGGTACAAAATCACTAGTGTAATCATTCCTGGTTCAAAAACACTAGTGTGAACATTCCTTGGATGAAAAATCTCCTTTTTTATATAAATCAGCTATGCAAGTTTCAAATACACTAAAAACTATTAAGCCACATTTTATATATATTTCCCCTTCAAAAAACCCTTTTTAGAACCTTATAATGACTGGTGGATGTTTTACACCGGACCCGGATAGAAAAACCTAGTGAATTTTTGTTGGTGGATAAAAATTACTGGGGATTTTCTTCCTCCGGATAAAGTACACTGGCGGAATCAAACCATTGTTACATTTATTCCCTACCACTAATTATATAGTAATGTGTTTAATATATTATGATCACAGACAAGGGCATGATCCGGTTTATCGAAGACTTACATAGTTGATCTATCATTGGATAAAGTTAAATAATTATAGGCATACAACATATAAACTACACAAAGTATACATCGGTCCTCAGCCCTCAGTCCTTGCTGAGGACCACCTCAAGGTGCGGGATTTACTCGCTGCGTTGAAGACCCATTGGTGGCCTTCAGCTGTTGTCTGCTCTTTGGTCGGATTGTTGTCTCTTTGACATACTCCCCGTTTCCATTCTCAATTTAATAGATAGCAGAAGGTAGTGTGAAACATGTTACAACATGTTAGATCTTAATTTTTGTGCATGAAATATAAATTTACCCAAATTACATAATTCTCTAAGATTATTAGAACTCATTAATTGTATATATTTATACATAGAATGTAGTCGTATACAATGTCAATAATAAGGTTTGAAAAAATAAGATCTAAGACCTTGATAAGTGGGACATTTTAAAATGAAATGCATCTCATCTTCAATGTCATTTTTACAAAAACTACAGAGTCTATTTCTTCTTGAAATTGCAGAAGTTATACATAGGAGAAAATTCAGTTGATCTGAGTAGTATGGTTCCGTTATCGATTTATTGAAGACATATTTGGAGATCAGTAACAAATCTTATATTATTTGAATCAATTTATTCAATTATGACATAAACATGTGACTAAATTATACTTGTTTTCGTATGTTACTATGCTAATACAATATACAAAAATGTAGACATAAAAGAAAAATTAATTAAGATGTGTTACTCAATCGTGAATTTTATAGGAACGAAATGTAAACAAAGGTATCCCCTTAAAACTACTATGGTTATTATAAATATTAACTCAAACTACTACACCAAGTAACA